ATCCATATTTCAATGAAGGATCTCACATTAAAGTGTCACATCTCTAGTTTCCTTTAATCTGATTCAACTCCAGCCTTTTTGTTTTTCAGAACATTGATGTTTTTGAAGAATTCACATTGGCTGTTTGGCAGAATGTCCCTCAATTTGGATTCTGTTTCCTTATGATTAGATTCAGGTCAGATATTTTAGGAAGAAATTCTACGTAAGAAATTGCATCCTCCATACAGCAAGGGATAAAGATGTTTGTCCCATTATTGGTGACCCTGATCATTTGATTATGGTAATACCACAAGACTCCTACATTGCAATGATTCTTTTTCCTTTTTCCTCTTTGTAATATTTTGAGACTATGTAAATATTGTTACATATATTTATGAGGGAACTTCTAGAAGTGTATAGAAAATAGAATTAAAAGATTATTCTGGAGCAAAAAAAAATTGAAATCCAGGCATAGTATTCATAAAACACGTTTCTTAAATTTTCTGAAGACCCCTCATACATGCTTTTTTTAAAAAATTTTTAAAAGATTTTATTTATTTATTTGAAAGTTAGAGTTACACATAGAATGGAAAATGTCCTAAATAGCACTCTGGCCTCAGATTCAGCCCTTAAGGCATTCGGATCTGGCTGAAGAGCCCATGAGAGTATTTTAGGCATGGAAGGAAGAAATCTCTGCGAGTGAGATCCCAGTGGAAAGAACAGGCCATCAAAGAAGGAGGTACCTTTCTCTGAAGGGAGGAGAGAACTTCCACTTTGACTATGACCTTGTCTAAATAAGATTGGAGTTGGCGAACTCAAAAGGCTTCCATAGCCTTGGCAACTCATGACAAGAGTCTAGGGTGATAACTGATGCCATAAACAAGAGTGTCAATTGTTAACAACAGGAGTCGCTGTGCACTTACTCCCCATGTAGGATCTCTATCCTTAATGTGTTGTACAATGTGAATTAATGCTATAACTAGTGTTCAAACAGTACTTTACACTTTATGTGTCTGTGTGGGTGCAAACTGTTGAAATCTTTACTTAATATATACTAAATTGATCTTGTATATATAAAGATAATTGAAAATGAATCTTGATGTGAATGGAATGGAAGAGGGAGCGGGAGATGGGAGGGTTGCAGGTGGGAGGGAAGTTATAGGTTGAAAAAGCCACTGTAATCCAAAAGCTGTACTTTGGATATTTATATTTATTAAATAAAAGTTAAAAAGAAAAAGAGTTACAGACAGTGAGAAGGAGAGACAGAGAGAGAGAGAGAAAGGTCTTCCGTCCGCTGGTTCACTCCCCAGATGGCCACAATGGCCGGAGCTGCATGAATCTGAAGCCAGGAGCAAGGAGCTTCCTCGATCTCCCACATGGGTGCAGGGGCCCAAGGTCTTGGACCATCTTCCACTGCTTTCCCAGGCCACAGTAGAGAGCTGGATTGGAAGAGGAGCAGCTGGGACTAGAACCGGCGCATATGGGATGCCGGGCACCAAGGCGGAGGACCAACCTGTACCATGGCACCAGCCCCCATCATACATGCTTTTAATACACTGAAACCTGTCAACATTCCACTTTGTGGTTTTAGATCCGCTCAGAAACAATTAGGGAGAACCTGGTAAGTTCGGAGGGACTTGCTGCCGGTGCTCTACAGGCAATGAGTGGGGGACGTGATTCTCCTCTCAACTATGTAGAGGGCAAACAACAGGACAGGGCCTACAAAAGGGTATGCGTTTGTGAAGCTCATCCAATTTTTTTTTTATTTGAGAGATAGAGTTAGACAGTGAGAGAGACAGAGACAGAGACAGAAAGAAAGGTCTTCCTTCTGTTGGTTCACCCCACAAATGGCTGCTACGGCCGGCGCTGTGCCAATCCGAAGCCAGGAGCCAGGTGCTTCCTCCTGGTCTCCCAAGCGGGTGCAGGGCTAAAGCACTTGTGCCATCCTCCACTGCACTCCCGGGCCACAGCAGAGAGCTGGACTGGAAGAGAAGCAACCAGGACTAGAACCCGGCACCCATATGAGATGCCAGCGCCGCAGGCAGAGGATTAACCAAGTGAGCCATGGCGCCAGCCCTAATTTTTTTTCTTTTTTTTTTTTTTTTAGATTTTTTTTTTTTTTTTTTTTAAGATTACAGAGAGGCAGAGGCAGAGAGAGAGAAAAGTCTTCCATCTGCTGGTTCACTCCGCAAATGGTCACAACGGCCATTGCTGCACTAATCCAAAGCCAGGAGCCAGGAGCTTCTTCCAGGTCTCCCACGCGGGTGCAGGAGCCCAAGGACATGGTCCATCTTCTACTGCTTTCCCATGCCATAGCAGAGAGTTAGATCAGAAGTGGAGCAGTTGGGACTTGAACAGGTGCCCATATGGGAATGCTAGCACTGCAGGTGGCAGCTTTACTCACTATACCACAGTGCAGGCCTCACATCTAATTTAAGATCTGTACTTTTCAAAAACAGATGGGTACACCAATGGAACAGAATAGAAACACCAGAAATTAATACAAATATCTATAACCAACTTATATTTGATCAAGGAGCTAAAATTAATTCCTGGAGCAAGGACAGTCTATTCAACAAATGGTGCTGGGAAAACTGGATTTCCACATGCAGAAGTATGAAGCAAGACCCTTACCTTGCACCTTACACAAAAATCCACACAACATGGATTAAAGATCTAAATCTACGACATGACACCATCAAATTACTAGAGAACATCAGAGAAACCCTGCAAGATATTGGCACAGGCAAAGACTTCTTGGAAAAGACCCCAGAGGCACAGGCAGCCAAAGCCAAAATTAACAACTGGGATCACCTCAAATTGAGAAGTTTCTATACTGCAAAGAAACAGGAAAGTGAAGAGGCAACCGACAGAATGGGAGAAAATATTTGCAAATTATGCAAATGAGAAAGGATTAATAACCAGAATCTACAAAGAGATCAAGAAACTCCACCACAACAACCACAAAATAAAACCACTTAAGAGAAGGGCCAAAAACCTAAACAGATATTTTTCAAAAGAGGAAATCCAAATGGCCAACAGACACACAAAAAATATTCAGGATCACTAGCTGTCAGGGAAATGCAAATCAAAACCACGGTGAGGTTTCACCTCACCCCGGTTAGAAAGGCTCACATACAGAAATGAACTAACAACAGATGCTGGCGAGGATGTGGGAAAAAAGGCATTCCCACTGTTGGTGGGAATGCAAACTGGTAAAGCCACTATGGAAGACACTTTGGAGATACCTCAGAAATCTTAATATAGCCCTTTCACATGACCCAGCCGTCCCACTCCTCGGAATTTACCCAGGGAAAATTAAATTGGCAAACAAAAGAGCTGTCTGCACCTCAGTGTTTATTGCAGCTCAATTCACCATAGGTAAAACATGGAATCAACCTAAATGCCCATCAACAGAAGATTGGATAAAGAAATTATGGGATATGTACTCTGTGGAATACTACCCAGCAGTAAAAAAAAAAAAAAAAAAAAAAAAAAGAAAAGAAAAAGAAAAAGAAAAGAAAAAAGAAAAAAAAGAAGAGAAATCTGGTCATTTACAACAAAATGGAGGAATCGAAAACATCATGCTGAGTGAAATAAGCCAGTCCCAAAGGGACAAATATGGTATGCTCTCCTTGATCTGTAACAACTAAGCACCTAAAAGGAAACCTGTAGAAGTGAAATTGACACTATGAGAAGCAATGACCTGATCAGCCCTTGTCCTGACTGTGAAGAACAGCTTACTATTTATTCTTTTTAGTATTTTCTTTTTCTACTTAATACCATTGGTTGAACTCTTTTTTTTTTAAATTGGTTGAACTCTTTACTTAACACAGAATTATCCTTAGGTGTTTAAATCCAATTGAAAATCGATCCCTGTTAAAAATAAGAGCAGGAATACGAGAGGGAGAGATGTACAGTTCAGCACACGTTCCCTCGGACTTACCACTAAGGGTAAAGCTAAAAATGTGCCATGGGACTCCAAATCCCATTAAGTTGGCAGGTACCAATACCATCTTACTAGTTAAAGTGATCAGTTTAAATTCATAACTGATCATAAATATAGGATTAAGTGTCAAAGGGATCACATAAACAAGACCAATGTCTGCTAATAATAATTGATAGAATTAAAAAGGAGAGAACGATCCTACATGGGAAGTGGGACACAAGGCAAACTCACAGGATGACAAATGCCCTAAACAGCACTCTGGCCTCAGAACAGCCCTTAAGGCTTTCGGATCTGGCTCAAAAGCCCGTGAGAGCATTTCAGGCAGGGAAAGCCAAGACACTGTGGCCAAAAAAATGACCTACATGAAAGATCTCTATGAGTGACACGTATGAATGTTCACTGTACAAACTTTCCACTTTCCTGTTTCAAAGTTTCCATAATAAAAAGCTGAATTAGAAAAACCGCACTGAGGCACGGCCGGTGGGTCCACAGCCTGGGACGCTGGCATCCCATCCAGGCAGTGGTTGGAGTCCCCGCTGCTCCACTTCAGCTCCAGCTGCCTGCTGATGCGGCTGGGACACAGCAGAGGATTCCCAGGTGCGTGGACACCTGCACCCACGAGGGAGAACTGGATGGAGCGCCAGGCTCCTGGCTTTGGCCTGGCCCAGCGCCGGCCGTTGCAGGCATTTGGGGAGTGAACCAGCACGTGTAGGATCTGTCTGTATCTGTCTCTCCCTCTCTGTTACTCTACCTTTCAAAGGCATAAGTTAGGGCCACCAAAGCAGCGCTTACAAAGCAGAACGCAGGGCAGGCGCTCGCTGAGGGATGAGACACCGGCGCAACCCACCGCCGGCCGCACACGCTGAAGCCAAGGCCGAGGCAGCCGGCCCGGCCGCCTCCGCCGGGCAGCGTCCACTCGCCCGGCCTCAGTCTGTTCTCAGAACACACTCCATCACCTGGTGCCCAGGACTCAGATTGCGCAGTGGTCTGGTCATCATTGGCCAGGGCTCACGGCCACAGCGGCACAGGCCTCCCCACCGCCCTCCCGCCCAGCGACCCCCTAACTGCCCCGCGCCCGGGCCCCGAGCCCCACTTCGCCTGCCTCGTTTTCATAATCCTCTCAGGCCCTGAAACAAGCGGCCTCGCCCGTAACGGGGCCCGATCATATAAGGAAAATACTGCGGGCTCATGCGGGGACTGCACTTGGGGTCCGGGCGCGCCCTACCCTACAACCCTGGCCGCACTCCATTCGCCTACCCGCCTGCCCCGCGCCCACGCCCGCCACCCGGAACTGGTCCTTGCTTCCGGCTCGCGGACTTAGACTCTGCGCAGTCGCCGCCCCAGCCAATCCCGTCGCGCCATCGCCAAGTCCCGCCCTCTTTGGCTTCCGGGCCCGCCCCGAGCCCTCACCCCCCCCCCCCCAAACGCTGCCGGGTATTAGGCGTCCTGGCGCCTTGTCGTGTTTTTTTTTTTTTTTTTTTCAGTTGTTTCAGCCAGGGATGAAGGGAACATTCGTTACCTGCTGAGGCGGCGGATGAAGATGTCCCATCAAATCTCTTCGATGTAAAACAGAAGTCTGTAAACACTGTGATGTGAGGGAGAATGCGCGCGCACGGGAGGGGCGGTGCCGCGTGGGAGTGACAACCGGCTGGCAGTCCCGAGGCCCCTCGGAGCCCGCGGGAAGTAGGCTCAAGGGAAGGGGCGTGGCCTCGCGGGGCACCGCCCCCGCGCTTAAGACCCGGGCGAGGGTGGGCGCGCGCTCGTGATCCTGCGCCACCGGGGACGCAGCCGCGGCCATGGCCCTTCTCCGAGGTGAGCGCTGCTCGCCCCCTGCCCGCCCCTCGGAGTCTGCCCGGGTTCCGCTTGCAGGCGCGGCGGAGAGCCGGGGTGGGGGTCGTGGGCGGAGGTCATGCAGTCGCTCCGGCTCCGGAGTGTTTGGGACGAGGAGGAAAGGCTGGCGAGGCGGCCGCGGCGCGGCTCCAGGGTGCGTCTGACCTTGGGGGTCGCGCCCTTGCTGGGGTCGTCGTGACCCGCTGGTTCGAGCTCGGTGACCAGGGGACGCGCGCGGGCAGGGCTGCTGGGCCCTGAGAGACCTGGTCCCCAGCAGGGCCTGGTGTTCTGTCGAAGACCTGCCTTGCCCCCTCTCCCCTTCGGTTCCCTGTGACTTGGTGGCCGCAGCCGGGTTAGTGACTCCGTTTGCCCAGCAAGGGGTCACAGAGATTGGATTCCGATGTAGGGATTCACGTGTCAGTTGAAGACCGTTCGGGGGCAAGAGCACAGGTCCTGAGACACGAATAAGCTTGGCGAAATCTCGGAATTTGGCGTTTTGTGGGTCCGGAGCCCGAGAGTTCGGTGGGGTTTTATTCTGAATGCCGAATCCTTCGAAGGCGATACAAGGATTTACGCAAGGGAATGACAGGCTGTGGTCCCACTCCGACCTGCTGTTCTCGTGGCTGGGGGACTGTGTGTAACAGGGAGGATTCCGTTCTAGGCCCTCCTGCATGGTCCGGGCGACCGCCGAGGGTCACTTGGACACGCGTGTGGGCCAGAGGAGGGGGAGGGGTGAGCTGAGCTCGGCCTGCAGGTGGATTCGACAGAACAGGGTGGTTGATTGGGCATGGCAGGTAAATGAGGAGACAGTGCTAAGAATGACTGAAGGTTTCTGGCTTGAGCTGTGTTCATAACAAAACAGAGTGAAGAAAACCCGGGGGAGGAATGGATTCGGCAAAGACGGTGGTTGACAAACCAGCTTTAGGCAAAGAAGTCCTTGACAAGGCTTGTGAATCAACCAAGTAGAGAAGTCAGGTCCGCACCCCTTACGGGGAGCTGGAAGTCAGCCAAGCCAAAATGGCAGGGGGCAGGTGTCCTGGAATGAAATACAGTGTATCCAGTTTCCTGCACCTGGATTCCCCCTGCTGGTGCCCTTCCAACTCCACCTACCACATTCACTTCATAAAGCAGCAGGCTGATTGTTTGCTTAGATGAGGCATTCGGAAAATCGAGTTCATTTAAAGGCTTCATGGTAGGGAACTTTTAAAAAAAATAATATTTTTTAGTTGATGGAAACTTTTGTAATACAGACCCCTTTAAAATTTGATTAAAAACTATGACCCGATAAGGAAAAAAAAAATAGTACAACACCTGTATGAAGGATGTGTGATATGGTTTCCGGGGTGTCAGAACTATTGCTCCTCTTTTCCTGTTTTATAGATAAGGACATTAATGTCCAGTGAAGTAAATGGCTTGTGTACGGTAACAGATGGTTAGTAAGCTGTGACTAGAACCTGAGCCCTGAGCTTCAATGGTGATGGTTACAGCCTCATTAGACCACATCCAGGAGGCGTCCAGCTGATTACAACGGTGGTAAGAAGAGCAGTCACAGGTGGTGCTGTGGTGTCGTGGGCTAAGCCTCTACCTGCAGCGCCCACACCCCATATGGGTGCTGGTTCGAGTCCCTGCTGCTTCTCTTCCTACCCAGCTCTCTGCTTATGGCCTGGGAAAACAGTGGGAGGTGGCCCAAGTGGTTGGGCCCATGCACCTGCATGAGACCCAGAAGAAGCTCCTGGCTCTCTGTCTCTCTATAACTCTGCCTCTCTATAACTCTGCCACTCAAATAAATAAAATCTTAAAAAAGAAAAACCAACCACTGTGATTACTGTAGGGGAAAGGACACATTTGAACGGGAGCCTAATTACCTTTGACAGCCGTTATCATTAACCTAAAAGACGTCAGTGCACAGAACTGGTCAGTCCTGCAGACTTTGATGAGCAGCCGTCCCAGCACTTGGCGGGAGGTTTCCACCTGGCGGATGTTAGCTCTGCCGCCCGGCCGCTTTGTGAGCAGTGTCCGTGTGTCCCTCCGAGGCTGGAGGCAGGGCTGCTAAGCTCCTTTCCTCCTGGGAGAGAAGCTGATGCAGCAGCAGTTTCCCTTGATCTGTCTCAGGGCTCTCCGCTGCTCCAACAAAATGAGCAAATATTTACCCAACAAGGGGACGGCAAGGTGGGCAGAGTCCCTTTCTCCTGTGCTCCGCTCAGCTTGCCTTGCCAGAGCTTTTCTTTGATCTTCGGACTTAGCACGCTCCGGATTAATGTGTCTTAAAGTGGGGATCTTTAGCCTCTGAATTCTCAGAGCCGTTTTTTTTTGTTTGCTTTTGGTTTTGTTTGTTTGTTTGTTTGTTGTTGTTGGTTTGTTTGAAAGCTGGAGTTAGAGAGAGGGACAGACACAGAGAGAGGTCTTCATCCACTGGCTCACTCCCACAAATGGCCACAATGGCTAGGACTGGGCCAGTCTGGAGCCAGGAGCTTCTTCCAGGTCTCCCACATGGATGCAGGGGCCCAAGCACTTGGGCCGTCTTTCACTGCTTTCCCAGGTGCATTAGCAGGGAGCTGGATCAGAAATGGAGCTGGCAGGACTCAAACTGGTGCCTAAACGGGATGCTGGTGCTGCGGACGGCGGCTTAACCTGCTACACCACAACACTGGCTCCTCAGAGCCTTTTTTTTATTTTTATTTTTAAAATTTATTTATTTATTTGAAAGTCAGAGTTACGCAGAGAGGAGAGGCAGAGAGAGAGAGACCTTCCATCTGCTGGTTCACTCCCCAATTGGCCGCAACGGCCAGAGCTACATTGATCTGACACCAGGAGCCAGGAGCTTCTTCCGGGTTTCCCATGCGGGTGCAGGGGCCCAAGGACTTGGGCCATCTTCTGCTGTTTTCCCAGGCCATAGCAGAGAGCTGGATCGGAAGAGGAGCAGCTGGGACTAGAACCACTGCCCATATGGGATGCCGGTGTTTCAGGCCAGGGTGTTAACCCGCTGCACCACAGTGCCTGCCAGCCCCAGGTCAAGGACTCCTGAAGACATTGATTCTAAAAGTGACAGTTTCGCTTTTATAGCTTTCCTTTTAGGTACGCTATTAATTCTCCCAAATCAGGGAGAACACATGGTGTTTGTCTCTTTGTGACTGGGTTATTTCACTAAGTATGAGGTTTCCCAGCTGGCTCCATTTTGTTGCAAAGGACTGGATTTCATCCTTTTTTACTGCTGTGTAGTGTTCCATAGTGCACATATCCCACAATTTCTTTATCCAGTCTTGGGTTGGTGGGCATTTAGGTTGCTTCCATATCTTAGCTATTGTGAATTGAGCTGCAATAAAGATGGAGGTGCAGATAGCTCTTTTGTTTACTGATTTCATTGTAGGCAGTTAACTTGGTTGAACATTCTTACAAGTCCCTTAATTTCTTGGCAAGATGTAAAAATGTGAGCTCAGCTTGTTTGGAGGAGAGTAAAGTTAGTGTATGCAAAGTACCTAGCATGAAGTCTATCACATAGCACGTGCCCTAGGTTAGCACTAGTGTTTACCTTGCAGAGTTGTTTGGCAGCTTAGATATTGTGTGGAAAGTAGTGAATGTCTGGTAATCAGCAGGTGCCTAATAAATGTCAGTGTGGTGAAACTACTGCTACTGATGCTGCTTACTCATGTGCAGGCCTTACACTATACTTCAAATTTGAATAATCATAAGGTGTTTTTTGTTTGTTTGTTTGTTCAGGCAGAGTTAGACAGTGAGAGAGAGAAAGGTCTTCCTTCCGTTGGTTCACCCCCCAAATGGCCGCTACGGCCGGAGCTGCACCAATCCGAAGCTAGGAGCCAGGTGCTTCCTCCTGGTCTCCCATGCAGGTGCAGGGCCCAAGCACTTGGGCCATCCTCCACTGCACTCCCGGGCCACAGCAGAGAGCTGGACTGGAAGAGGAGCAACCGGGACAGAATCCGGCGCCCCAGCCGGGACTAGAACCCGGTGTGCCGGCGCTGCAGGTGGAGGATTAGCCTAGTGAGCCGCGGCGCCAGCCTAATCATAAGTTTTTGAGTTTTTTAAACTGTTTATTTGTTTGAGAGGAAGACAGAGAGCACTCCCATCAGCTGGCTCGCTCTCCAAATGCCTACAGTGGCTGGGACTGGGCTGGGTCCAAGCTGAGAGCCAGGATCTCAATCCACATCTGCCACGTGGGTGGGAGGAGCCCAATTACTTAAGCTATCAGCACTGCCTCTGCCTCTGAGAGTCCACATTAGCAGGAAGCCGGAGCCAGGGTGGAGCCAGGGGTCAAACCTAGGTGCTCTGGTGTGGGACATGGACACCTTAGCCACTAGGCTCAACGCCCGCCTCTCGTGACTTTTTCGGCAGTTGACAGTACTTAACTTAAAAGGGACAGTTTGTACAGGGT